CTCCCCGCTTATGCAAATGAAGCCCGGGAAATTCAAATCCCGGGCTTCATTTGCAAGTGCGGTATGCCTACATTACCACCCTAGTTCGAACTAGCGGGGTAGTGTAGATATACCCCTGCAGACTAAATAAGCCCAAATCCCTCAGCCTCTCCTCATAGGCCATGTGCTCCAGCCCCCGAATCATTTTGGTTGCCCTCCGCTGGACCCGCTCTAGTGTGTCCACATCCTTTCTGTTTGTATATCGGCATGGCCCTGAACAGTCTAACTGGACGGTGGATGAGAGAAGAAATGGAGGAGTGATCCGGTTGAAGTCACCCAGCCCCCTGTCCACTGGCCCACACTGTATCTTCAAGTCCGTGAGCCTCATGCATCAGCTGACAGGGAGCGAGGCAAAGCGGGCCCGCCTGTGCTTTTGCAGATCCTCCGACCACCTGCTTTTCAGGTTCTGGAGCCCCTCCTCTGTTGATGCATCGGGTGGTACGTTACAGAGGAAGAAGGGCCTGCCTGAAGGAAAAGGAGACCGGGTGGCCGTTCATGTGCCTGCAGTGTGCGTTTGTTTCAAGATCGTTGGGCAACGTGTTAAAAAACGAGGGCAGGGAACCGTTATCCCTAGGACACCAGTGATGTACACAGTGAGCTTTGCAAGCCATCGGTATGGTTTCCAGGAGGTATGTACTCTGCTGCTCTGGAAACAGATGCACTGGGTTGAGCTGCTAGTTTATCATGCGGTGCTCAGCTGCCTTGTGGCCCATGGGGATCTCCCTTCGTTTGGCTGGCGGGGAAGAGGTATGGACCAAGAAATGGCTCTCCCCTGTCACAGGCTGTGACTCGGGGTTTTGCCAGACCTTTCCCAAAGCCACAGCCATAGTCACCGGTGTCTGAGGGTACGTCTGCACTGCATGGCTATTTCGGAATAAGCTATTCCGGAGTAGTTATTCCAAAATAGCTTGTTTCGAAATAGCACGTTTACACTGCAGGGAAGCCTCAAAAGTGGTCGGAGACGGGCTTCCCTAATGTAGACCTGCTGTCTCGATTTAGAGCCCCAGGAGGCACTGGGGAGGAATAACTTAAATGGCCCTTATTTCGGAAGACGCGTTATTCTTCGTGGAATGAGGTTTAGTAATTTCGGAATTGCTTCGAAATAACGGAATGGCTGTGTAGACGCTCGCGCTGTTATTTCGAAATGACGCCAGTGATCTCGAAATAACGGTGCAGCATAGCTGCACCCTGAGCAGAAAACGAAAGAGGAGAGCTGCACGGCAGAGCAGAGCGGGCACGTGGCTCTGTCAGCCTGTTCCCAGTCAGCTCTGAGGGAACGGCGGGGTGTTAGGCTAGGCCCAAGGAAGTGGGAAGAGAAGCATTCTTTCTGTTTTGTCTGTTGCTGGTTACGTTACTGTGCACCCCGGGAGGGCCAAGCTTTTTTGAACAGCTACCTTTCGCTAGGGCCAGATGGACCGGACACAAGCCCGGTCCAGACTACTAGGGCCTCATCCATCAGTGGCCGGCACCCTGAGCAAAGTGCGCACCAATGCTCCCCGTCTGACTGGGGAGCGTCTTACGCTGACTCGGGGACGTAGACAAGGGGCCGAGTAGTAAATTAGGCCCTTCGAGCTCCATGGCCAGGCTGTGCATTTGGAGAAGGGCTGTTTCCCTTGCACGTTCCTGTGCTAGTAAAACTCCACCACGCCCAGGAGCCGGAGTAGCTTCTCTGCCGTCACTAGAATTCTCGCTTGTGGGAAGTCTGTGAGGTGCTCCCAGGGTGCTGAAATCCAGAAGGAGCAGCAGGACCGCTGCCTTCCTGGCCACGTACGAGGGAGCAACACTGGGCACCTGCGAGGGGAGGTTGGAGGATTGCCAGGGAAGCGTTTTGAGGGGCATTGTAGCAACTCAACACGTCAGATCCCTTTTCCTGGGAGAAATGCATCTCCTGACCCAAGAAAAGCAGATAACATAAGAACGGCCGTACTTGGTCAGACCAAAGGTCCATCTAGCCCAGTAGCCTGTCTGCCGACAGTGGCCAACACCAGGTGCCCCAGAGAGGGTGGACCGAAGACAATGATCAAGCGATTTGTCTCCTGCCATCCCTCTCCAGCCTCTGACAAACAGAGGCCAAGGACACCATTTTATCCCCTGGCTAATAGCCTTTT